GCACGGGGGCACGGGGGCGTGGGGGCACGAGGGCGAGGCGACGGTTTTACGGAAATATGTATACTGTTAGTACACACTCTAGAAATCATTTAAAATAAACAATAGATCGATTAATTGACATACAGTTGGACTATGATTTTGACAGTTGCATGTGACGCGCCACCTGGTGTGAGGCTGTGACTGTGTGAGGTGGTGTGAGGTGGCGTGAGGCGGCGTGAGGTGGCGTGAGGCGGCGCGAGGTCACTCGTCGTCGCTGTCGGGGTCGCTGGAGAAGTCTGCGGCGGCGTGCAGTCGCGGCGGGAAGGGGCCGCGGCTCTGCTGCCTGCAACATTACACCGGCCCTGCATATCTCGCGCGCTGCACTCTCACACGAGTCACATGAGAAATGTCTCCTATACAAATAGAAATATCTGTGGTAGAGTGTACTGACGCGAGCCTGCGGTAGTGGTTGAGCCACTCCTCGAGCATCTGCGCCTGCAGCAGCGGGCGCGGGTGCAGACGCTGGCGAGCCGCGCGCGCGCCGCCCCCCAGCGCCGCCGCCGACACGTAGCGCCGCACCGCCGCCTCGCCGCCCGCCTCCCCGCCCTGCACACCACCACGCATTGCGACATCACCTCGTGCACCTCATGCACCTCGTGCACCTCGTGCACCTCACACGAGACCGCACGCACCTCGTCGCCGGTGAGGAAGTGCACGGGCAGCAGCTTGCCCTCGGAGTCCGTCAGCGGCAGGAACGTCACCTCCTCGCTCTCCTTCTGCTGCTCCCTGTGACATACAAACATACGTAACAGTAGCGATAGCGACAGCGATCGCATGTATATCGTGAATTGTATACGTAGGTACGTACCTGCATATGTAGGAGTGCCTGTGCGGGTAGGGCTCGAGCGGCACGAGCGCGGAGAAGTGTCCGCGCGTGTAGCCCAGGCACAGCGGCGACTTGCAGCAGAACTCCGGCTCCCACAGCAGCGGCAGGTAGATGCCTGTGCAGTAACAACAAACTGAGTGCTCACTCCGAATACGTATATCCTATATGTGTATGTGTATATACAAACGTACCTTGAAACTTGGCGTACCCGAGCGCCTCGCCGCGGAACGAGTTGACGACGTCGACGCCGTACACGATGATGGGGCGGCGCATCACGTGCGCGAACGCGAACACGTGCACCTGCACACACGAGCACGCGGGTGAGCGGGGGCGGGGCGTGCGGGCGGGGCCGGGGGGCGTGTGGGCGGGGCGCGTGACGTCACCTGGTGCAGCGGAGTGCCGGGGCGGGCGGCGGCGGCGGTGAGGCGGGCCCACTCGGCGCGCAGCTGGCTCTCCTCGGGCGCGTACTGCAGCAGCGACGCCTGCCACCGCTCCCACGCCTGCCACCGCTCGTAGAAGCTGCACACGATACGACGCAATACATATAAATGGTGATTAGGATACGAGGCGGTGTATCGAGGGCGGCCTCCCGCGTACCTCCTGTGGGCGTGGTGCAGCGAGTCGGCGAGCGCCTGGCGCAGCGCGTTGCCGCGGTCGAACACGCCGTATGCCGCCTGGCACACCGCGTCCGGCAGGCAGTCGCCCGCGGACCTGTTCCACAGCGCGTACAGCCGCGACCCTGGCACGCACGATCTTGTTCATGACACACACATATACATGTACAGAGGGACTTAGTGTCCCGTGTGCGGCAGCGGGAGACGTACCCAGGGTGACGGTGAGCTCGTGGCTCCAGTTGATGAGCGGCGGCTCCGCCTCCAGCGTCTGCTGCGCCTCACGGTCCAGCAGCTCGGAGAACAGCTGCTCCTGG